ATAAGTAAAGTTTTGAGACTACCAGTTGATCAGTTCTATGAAATGTGTTACTCCTATTTCGTTTAAGGTGAGGAAGGAATGATAGTTGAATTTTTTCCACAATGTCATGTGTAGAGCTGACCTTTCAATTGAATTTCACATGGCCTTGCCTTCCCAAAATTTGTCTAAACTGCAGTCCACCTCAGCCTGGATGAGAACATCTTTTGGGAAAGCAAGACCACGTGAAAGTTGCTAGAAACGTCAGCTCTACTCATAACATTGTGGTTAAATTCAACTACCAGTCCTTCATCACCTTAAACGAAATAGCATGAGTACATCTCATCTAAAGTGATTTGGTTGGTTCTAGTCAAATGTCAACCTCAGAGCGTGTGAGTGTGTCTGTCTGTATATGTGTATGTGCCCGTATTTGTTCGCATATGAACGAAACCAACCAAAAGTAATTAGAACCGAAGAAGTAAAGTCTGTTCCCGGTCATCAAGGTTTGTGTCCGATTGTGCAAGGTCGGACACACGCCCGGCTATATTGATGAGCTCTTTGTCTTCATGTGAGACAGAAAGGGTAGGCCAAAATGTACAGAAAAGTGACCGTGATTAGAACCAAGACAAGGAGAGAAAAGACTAGCTGATTTTTCTCCCTGTTGCAGGCGGCTCAAAAACGCTCTCTATCTGTGAGTTGACTAATTAGGTAAAAGTAATGTTTACTAAACTTATTGCCGGAATTAAATTACATCCAGTTTAGTCTGAATATGGTTATAAATATACTGCCCTGCTCCGATGATGTCCGTTATACGAAGGACAAAAGCTTAGCAGGTTTTCACCAGAATCGAAGGAAATTGCTTCGGAAACAGCGTTAACAAGAAGGTTCCATTAAGGCCAATCGACAGCTGGAATCGACCTTCGAAACTCTTCACTCGAAATGGAAGTAAGTTCAACAATTACGAAGCAAGAGATCCCTCGTAACCCATCTGTTCTCCGCATATTCTGCATTGGTATATGATGAGCATGTACAGGTTGAGAGGTCAGCCCACTTGTGCTACCATCGGCGGATGGGTTATTCTGCTGACTCGCAGTCGTTCTGGTGGCGGAATACGTGAGACTGGAATGGCTGGACTAAGCTCAGCTGAAGGTGGCCCGTGTCGTGGAGACAGTACGTTTTGGCACAAATGCTCTCTGAAGTGGCGGCCCAAATACTCCGGGGTTTCAAGAGGGGACGGATCGAGTTAAACTGAAATGATTTGAAGGCAGAAATTTGGTACTTCCATGAAACCCACTGCATCCCACCTGCAAAATAGATCAGGATTTGGAACTGACTTGCCTACAAACAGGCTGTTTTCACAGAACCGGACGAATGAGAGTATCTCTTGGCCTGCACGGATCTTGAGTGAGTAACTTTGAAGTCGCCGGTAAAGTGGCTAATTTTCTCAAGTATTAATAATAATCTGGACCGGCTTTATGCACTCGTGCTGTACGCATATAGTTGGTGTCTATAAAGACTCACCCTGTGTATCCATCATTGTTATGAAACAGCGACATGTAGACTCCCTGTCCAGACGAGCAGTCGGTACGGGTGTAGTCGACATCAAACAGACTGGCCAATTCATCGACTTGATGAGTGGACAAGCCAACGGTCGTGGCGATTTGGACATCAATCGGAACAATCTGGCAACCTGTAGACCATAGTAACTGCAAGAAATGCAAGAAATTTCACACTTATGCATTAAAAATGCTAATAAAGATCTAATAAAATCTGGGAAAAGTGAATGCTAAGAAAGAGACGACGAGGAAGGAGAAGAGATGGAGGAGGAAAGGAGCCCCAAGGTTGCCTTTAAGCTATGCATAAGTAACGGCGAAATGGAGAAGTGGAAAATGAGTTCACTACTCCAGAAAGATGCTAGGACCCAAACGGCCTACAGCCTTCCTAAGGCGCACAATAAGTGTAAATAATAGAGGAAGCCTGATGCATAAAATCCCACGCTTTTAATGCATCAACTTAAAAAAGGCTGTCGAATTTTGGCCATATTTAGTTAAAAATTCTTTTGAGTTTGTAAAATTGGTTCATCAGCAGATAATTTTAAAGGAAAATAGGCTAGTAGTACACAAAGTACATAAATATTCCTATTTAAGAATTCGCTCAAGCTCTAGTGCAAACTCTGGAGGGGCATTCAGAGGTAAAACATTAAATAAGATTGAGTATAACCTCCATTCCTAGACTTGTCAAACTATCACTTATTTTATAAGTGGGTTGACCTCGTTGTCGCAACTTGGTCTTGTTGTCAGGGCGACTATGTAGAACGTACCTAGTCCGAAGTCGTCTGCCATAGTAGTTGTCATGACTTCCAGCATCTGACAGTGGACTTGGTACATTCTCAAACGTTTCGCCGGCATCGCAGTCAGCATTATCAGTGAGTTTTGCCATTCTCCGTACCAAGCTACGAACTCGTCAAATAGAAAAAAAATTGAAGTCAATCCCTCGACAAGCGTTCTGCCAAAAACGGTTACACTATCACTCCTCTTTCCGTCATTGTCTATCTATCTACTCTTTACATTCTTATCCCACTGCCGCCCTATCACAACTTCTCACTTGTTTACATTTCAATGGTCAAAATGTGTGCCCTTTTGTGGCAAAATCGAGTGTGGCCTCATCACACTTGCTGTTTACCCCGACCCCTCTCTTTCGATGGGCTTATCCGACTCCGGCCTCTAATCCGGATCCTTTCATTGTCTCATAGATCCGTTCCTTATCTTTCTGGTTAACCGATTTCACTCGGCTCTAGTCCCAGTGTGCATTTCACTGA